GATGATTCAGCGGCTCAGTGATTCGACGACTCGGTAAAAAGGCTGGTTTTGTGGAGAAAAACTGACTTCGATCGTTGCTTATTGGTGCAGCGGAGAGGAGAATTGAGTTGTTTGTTCGTTGCTTTGGAATTACTTCGTCGAATTCGTCACTAGAGATGTCAGACAATGCGAGGAAACCATCTGGTCGTGAGAAGAGAGTTGCCGAGGCCAGGACAGATTTGAACACGAGAGTGTCTCAACAAGCTAAACCGTTGACGTCAGCCCCCAGATCTGGCACTACTGGAACCCTTGCACCTAGGCCGCGTCGTCCTGAGTTAGAACGAAATATTGTTGTCATCACCGATCGTCGATCTGAATCATTGCATAGGCGTCACGTTGACATGAGGGGAAGGGATGATCATGCAGGAGCAAGTCGTATGCGTTCGCGAGAAGAGAAGGAGAAAGGCAGTGTTGGCAATGAGGACTTGAATAGATCGAGGCACGCTTCAACTCCTCGATGTGATCATGTGGTGACGACTTCCACTATTCCTTTTGGTACGAAGGAGTCCTTTGGTGATGTTGCGCGGGCGGTGTCGCATTTGTCCCAGATTGTCTTCCTAGGCACTGAGTTTCCTCCTCCAGGAGAGATGTCGAAGAAGAGATCTTACTCAAGCATGGCCTTCGATTGTATGACGGTACGACTTCGTGGCAACTCTCGTGAGATAGCGATTTGCCTTTTCCTTCTTCCWGATCTTGTAACTTGTTTTCCGTGAYYTGYTCCTTGGTTTGGCAGTTCCTTTCTTCGCTTAACAAGCTCGCGATTGACTATGAGGTGACTGTGCGCTTGCAAATGTTCAGAAGGCTTGTGATGATGCAGAACAGGGATGCAGAGGATCGCGTTGCTACCCTCCAAGCTTCTATGAAGGAAACCGAGGATAGGCGTCGCAAGATGGATGGGACGTTCAAGGAGTCTAAATCCGAGAGGAAGCGTCTTCAGAAGGAAGTTTGTGACCTTACCACCCGATTAGATGTTGCTGCCAAGCTTCAAGATACGGCTGTGCAGCGAGCTGTTGACGAAGCGAAGCGCGAACTGTCGGCGAAGTATGAGGCGAGGATCGTCCGTGCTATGGAGAAGATTAGAGTTGATCTTGCTGAAGTCCGAAGTAACATTGAGTTCGTAAAGTTGCTTCAGAGTGACAAGGCGCCTGATCTTGGTGAAGAGCTCGTTGAGCTTGAGAAGCAGGAGGTAAACCTATCGCTTGCAGACGAGGTGTTTGCTAATCATGTGCGCGAGCTTGAAGGGATCCTTAAAGATTCGTCGGTTATCGCGAGTGATGATCGAGTTGAGGAGTTGGACGCTGATGCCGTTGAAGAGAAGGCTGACTCGGATTCGAGTTCCTCTGATTCGTCAAGTGATGATGATTTGTCAAACTCTGTGGCAGCGATTCCGTCTGAGCAGACCATCGAGATTGTTGACGATGCTAACGAGACC